TGTTATCTCTGGCATTTATCTCCCAACTTGCCATCAAAAACAGATCTTCAGTTTATTTTGTTTTTGTTTTTGTTTTGTAGGATCTCTGATTGTTTACATTGTCACTGTCAAAATGTAGGAAACACAACAATGTCACATGAGTAGTTACTGACAAGAAAAGGCTTTGGGGTATCCTGCAGTTGTATTATTGAATTACTACAATAAATGTAAGTCTCATTTTTTTGCTCTGTAATTCCAGATCGAGGATCTGTCCCAGCAGGCTCACAAGGCAGCGGCTGAGAAGTTTAAAGTCCCCATTGAGCATGCTACACTGGTCCCTGAGACAACTCCCACTCTCACAATTAAGGAGGAAAGTGAGGAAGAGGAGGTAAAGCACCTTTTGTAACATGTCATGAGTAAGGCCTTTGCAAAGGGCCAAATAGAGATTGGGGACCCTCTCCAGCGCTTCCTGAATCTGTTTCACTTAGAAAATTCTAATCTTCCCTATGTACTTTCCCACTGTGCCTGTATTAGAAGGAATGAAATGGCTGCACTGTTGGTTTTGAGATGTGGCAGTACACAACACGTTGTTTGGAATTTAGGGGACACAATGGCCATCTTAGAATCAGGCAGAAAATTAAATGATGGCCAATTCAGTGAGGTTTCATGCTGTTTGAGAGGTCTGAGAACAACCAGAAAAGGAAATTAGCACAAAACCCATAGTACCACAAATTAATATAGTATCCCTAAGATGGCATTAGATATCAAATGAGGAGGAAGGTTAGTCTCCAAGGGGACACCTCTTCCTAGTTTATCTCTAAATTTATCTCATCTAATATTTAATTTCTCGATTCGGCAGAGTTCTAAAAATACAAGGATCTAGGCAAAGTGGTTGTTAGCAATTTATGTTGGTAATGATATACCAAACAATACCACATGATTACAGCCTCTGCCTATAGAATTCGATGAGGAGGAGGGGAAGATGTTAAGTACTTCAGTTTACTTATGATTAGTGAGCAAACCTCCTGCACAGTCAGCGCTGAGATTACAAGGGTGATTTGTCACAGAAGAATACACATTGGAACCAGTTGAGCATCATTTTGTTTCGCCGCCTCCTCCTCATCTCACAATGCAATGCTTTAGTTTCTTAATGTCAACTATGGCCTTCATTATAGCTATGTTACTGCCTATTGATAAGTCAACCTACCGAAGGTTCAAAAAAGCTCCACGGTATAATCTCAAGACGTAACACAGACTACCTTTTTATTGAGATAACAAGGTGTAGAGATGGATGAACACAGCAGGCCAAGCAGCGTCAGAGGACCTGCCTACCTTTTTATTGATTTCTGTTGAGGGTAAATTTATAAATCTGTCCATGAGACTAGAACTGTCTGAGACTATTTGATGTGACAACAGTTACGGCCTTATAGATTTTATTGAAATCTGCAAATATTGTCTGAGAGCTACACTTCCAGGATCTTAATTTTACTCTTTTTTTAAACTGTAGAGCTGATTTTAAAAAAAGGAACCCAGTATAAATGCATTTGGTTTGTACAGGATAGATTCCTTTATTATCTTTTGGTCTAATATTTAACTCGGTCACCATGGTGACTAGTCAAGTTCCAAGGCGCGCACCTTTTTAATGTGATAGTTAGGAGTAAGAAGAGTCTACGCAGTTGTGGGATATATTACCTTATGTACTCCATTTAGATGGTGTTCCTAAGTATGTCTGTAGAATTTTGGGAGTTAGTAAGTAAATGATTAATTGAAACACTGGTGATCACCTAATGGCTTTGACTGTTGCTATAATCTCATCTTTTCCTATGACACAATTATATCATGTCCATGTGAGGGAAGGATACAAGTTTTTTTTAACATAACTTGTATAGTTTAGGCTTCAAGATGGCTCTGTAACTTGTAGCTCGGTCCAGCCATATATGACCTTGCAATGACAGGCACATCCTGGAAATTAATTTTTAAGGTGGAAGGGCTGCTGGTAAAAGTCATTCAGACAGCAGTCAGTAGATTTTCACTATTTCCTCTCTATCACTGTCTGGCATTGAGCAGGATCTTGGCTGCCACCTGGAATGCCAGGAAGACCACAATGTCACCTTTTTTTTTCTTTTCCTGAGCTGGTTTGCCACATTTTGGGCCATTTGGGAGCCCATCAGGCCTTGCCCTGGGATCCTGCCTGCTGACTAATTGGAGGCTGGCATCCCCTTAGTACTCAGAAGCACCAGGTGATAGGTGAATGCAGTACCAGCACCAGCTGAGAGAGTGCAGGATTCTGCTGATTTAACTCCCGATTCAGAATGCTGATGGTGAGTGTATGAGAGGAACTTTTCAGTCCTAGTATAATAGCAACCCATTCACTGGATGAAAAAAACACCTTGAACTCTCAAGCTCGTTGGGAGATGACCATAATACATAATGGTGCAATCTGAAACAGTGCCCTTGTTAAGGACAATATAAAAGTAGAACTAGGTGCAGGCATAGGTCATTTGGTTGTATGATCATATGTTACAGAAGGCCCATCAAGTCTGTACGGACGAAACTACTATAAATCTACACTAGTCCTACTTCTGAGCACTTGGCCCTTGGCCTTTGAATGTTATGAAATTTCAAGAGTTCATCCAAGCACTTTTTTTTTTAAAGATGGAAGTTTCCTGATTTAACTGCCGTCTTAGGCAGTACATTTCCCCCCAAATTCCACCACTGTCTAGATGAAAAAATTATTTCATCAAATCCCTGCTAAACCTTCTGCCTTAAAATTAGCTTTTCACCTTCAAATTATGCCCCCTTGTTTTTGACTGTCCAGCCAAAGGAAGCAGTTGCTTCCTATCCATCCTGTCCATGCCCCTCCCAATCTGATACACCTCAATCGGGTTCCCCTCAGCCAATCTGCTCTAAAGATGATAACCTGAGCTTATGCAGCCTCTCTTCGTAGCTAAACTGCCCCATTCCAGGCAACATCCTGGTGAATCTCCTCTGCACTCCCTCCAGTGCAATCGCGTCCTTCATCCTGCAGTTCTCCAGCTGTGGCCTAACTAGTTTTTGTACAGTTCCCACATAACCTTCTTGCTCTTATAATCTATGCCACAACTGACAAGGCAAGTGTGCCATACACCTTTCCCTAATAACCTTTCCTGCTGCCTTCAGAAATCTTTGGATAAGCACCCAAGATCCCATTGGTCCCCGAACTTCTCAGAGTCCTGCCGTACATCGAGTACTCACTTGTCTTGTTACTGCTTTCAAAGTGTATCACCTCACACTTTTTTCAGCATTCAATTCCATCTCTACAAATCTGCCCATCTGAAAAATCTGTCTGTACCCTCATGTAAGCTGAGACCTTCTACCTCAATGTCAACCACCCAATCAACCTTTGTCATCTGTGAACTTATCATCACCCCTATGTCTTATATATTGTTAATGTATATCAAAAGCATTGATCTCTGTCGTATGCCAATGGACGCGGTCTGTAGTCATACAAAAAGACCTTCTAAGACTATGGCAATTTTGGATCCAGTTTGCTAAGTTTACCCTGGATTCCATATGCTTGTACCTCCTTCATCAGTCTCCCATGTGGGACTTAGTCAAAGGCTTTGCTGAAATCCATACAAACTACATCAACTACACTACCCCCATCTATACCATGGTCACCACTTCGAAATATTCAATCAAATTTGTTAGGCATCAACTCTCTCTGACAAAGCCATGCTGACTATCTGTGATCAAACCTTCTCCAAGTGGAGATTAATTCTCTCCTTGAGAATTTTCTCCAATAGTTTCCCTACCACTGATGTGCGTCATTGGTCTGTAATACCCTGGTTAATCTCTATCTACCTTCTTGGAAAGTGGAACCACCTTAGCTGCCCTCTAGTCCTTGGGCACCTCTTCTGTGGCCAGTGAGGAATTAAAAGTATGGGTCAGAGCCCCTGTAGTTTCCCCTCACAGCAGCCTGGGATACATACTCATCTAGACCTGGGAATTTGTCAGCTATTAAGCCTGCCAAAGCCACCTGACTCCAATGTAAATTTGCTCAAGAACTTCACAGTCCCACTTTCTGAATTCCGTACCTACATTCTCCTTCTCCAAAGTGAAGACAGATTTGAAGTATTCATTTAACACCCGACCACTGTCCTCCGACTCCATGCACCGCTCGCCCTTTTGGTCCTGAATGATCCTTGCTATTCCCTGGTTATCCTCTTCTCCTTGATATACTTGTAGAATATCTTGGGATTCTCTCTAAACTCAGCTGCTTGTGTTTTCCGACACCCCTCTTTGCTCTCCAAATTGCTTTCTTGGGTTCTCCACTGCTCTTTTTATACTCTGTTAGTCCCTTGGTTGATTTTGCTCCCTTTGTACCTTTTTCCCTTCTTATCCAGCCCTGAATATTCATACACATGCAGGGTTCTTTGGGCTTGTTGCTCCTGCATTTCACACTAAAGGAAAGAGGCTGGGCTTGTATTCTCGCCAATTACATTTTGAACACCCCCAACCGTTGTAGATTTACCCAGTTGAAGGCAGGATCTGGCCCAAGTATTTTAATAACATCTGCCTTCCTCCAATCCAATCCCGTTTTCTTCAGACCATCTTTTTCCTTTTTCCTTTTCCCTAACAAATTTAAAATGTATGGTGTTGGAGCTGCTATCACTAAAGTGTTCTCCCTTTGCCACCTTGAGCGCCTATCTGGATTCATTCCCTAGAATTAGGTCCAGCGCTGCAGCAGCCCCTATAGGATTATCTGTCCCCCTTTTTAAAACCTTTTTATGCTATAACTGTCCTAATTAATTTTGGGGAAGTTGAAATCTCCTAATATAAATACCTTTTATTGTTATTTTTAAACTCAACACTGAATTGTTTGCATATTTGGTCCTTTTATTGCCTGCTGACTATCATTTGGTGGCCTGTAATATACTCCCAGAAATGTGACTGCCCCCTTTTTTTATTAAACTCTCCCGAAAAATTTTTTTATTTGAAGACCCTTCCAAGATATTCTCCTTACTGAAGTAACTGACACCACCTCCATTTTTATACCCTGCCCTGACTGAAGATCCCATATTCTGGGATGTTGAGTTGATTGGACCTGTTCTGCCATTCAATATAGACGCAGGCAATCCTCAACCCCACTTTCCCAGACTATTCTCATAATTCCTTTTAATAAGTTTAGCATCCAAAGATCTATCAGTCGTTGGCTTGAATATATTCCCAATGACTGACTGTACTTAGTCCCCTGAAATAGAGAATTTCAAAGACCTTTTGGAAAAAATGTCACCTCATCCGAGTCCTATATTATCTTATTCCAAGATGGTGACCCCTTAGTCCTAGACTCAGCCCAGCGAACATCCTCCAAGCATCTACCTTATCAAACCCCTTAAGAGTTGTACTTGTTTCAAGGAGATTCCAAAGCTAATTTATCTGTGGGTTATCAAGTTTCAAAGGGAAACCAGACTGACTCGTTTGAATGTCCCATATTCTAGTTGGATGAAACGGGACTCGAAGCAAGAGACATAGAGTTAGTGATGGCCCAAGCAAACGTCTCGAGGGGAAAAGCTGTGCGCGCACTCAGACACAACAAGAACGATATTGTCAATGCTATAATGGTGAGATACTCTAGCTTTTTATTGTTGTTGTCTTTGTCTTTGTCTTTTGTTGTTTTATATTTGCCTCAGTGGGGCAGGGTGGAGAAATTGGGTAACGTGTTTAACAATAGTATTTGTTTGGACGGTGTAATGGGTCTGGTCTGGTCCTTCATCTCTGGATTAAATTCAGGTTGACCTAATGAGTTGAAAGTCCCCAGACCTGGACCATGGTAAGGACTGTTATCCTATTTTGTGTCTCGAGCAAAATGAAAAATACTGCAGACCCCAGAAAACTGAAACAAAAACGGAAAATGGTGGCAATGCTAAGCATTAGCAAAAAATGACCTTGAATATGATTGTTAAGAACTCAACTGATCCCCAGGGAAGGGACCTGATTGCAAACCAGTCTGGGCCAGCATAGCTAGTCAGTACAACACTGACATTGCCGACTCTTACTGACCTCTTGGGCCACCCGTTTATACGACCAAGAAGTTTTCTAGCGATTTGGCAGTTGGCTAATCCTTGCCAGTATTGTGCATATCCCAAGGATCTCCATCCTCGGGTAGATAGGCAATGAACAAGAATTGTACTTATTGACTGGAAGGCCTCTGCCTGGACCAGAGTCAGCCCAAGGGCACCTTCTGCTGGTTGACCCTGCAGAATAGAAGAAAGTTATTCTAAATGCCTTTCTCTGCTTCTGACTCTGATTCACTGCCTGTCTGAACAATAGGAAAGCTCTGAAAACTTCCTCGCTGCGGCTAGAGTTAAAACCCTATATTTAATGAAGGATCCTGCTGGCTGTCTTTGCTATGTGCAGGTTAAGATTGAACCTAGAGAAAACCTGGCTGGATGTGAGCAGATAATATACTCCCATCGATTTCTTGACTTCCTTCCTGTGTAGTTTGCTGCCAGGTAGCTAGGATCAAAATCAATGCCCCGAAGACCCATGAATTAGACATTAGGCCAAGTACCACAGGTGAAGGTGGTTAAGACCTGAGGCTTTATCCTAAACTATTTCAATATTCTCTCTTTTTATTCCCTCTAGGAATTAACAATGTAAACTGCAAAAAGAAGATCTATTTCTATATATAATCACTGGATATTATCGACATTATAAACTATAACCAAACTGTAAATCATACAAGTTTGCATCTGTTATATCACTAATAAACTCGGCTATAGAAACCAAATCTGTGCTTGCTTGTGTTTCTTTGGTGGAGCAAAGAGAAAGTGAGGACTGTGGGTGTGGATGGTAGTGGGAGAATGATCAAGCCTCACACCAGAGACTTGAACAGTTAGTTCAGGCTTTGACTTCCAGTTTAATACCGACGCAGATGGTGTTTTTAAGATTAAATGTTAAACCCTTTGTCCTTGTGAACATAAAGATCTCGTAGCACTATAGGGAGAGGAGCAGGAGACTTCTACCCGAGTCAATGTTTATCCCTTACCCAGTAGCACTGACGCCTAATATCTGGGCACTATATCATTGCCGTTTTGTAGAATCTAGTCTCAAGCAGTTGGGCTTCTGTATTTCTAACATTATAATCTTCAAAAATATGTCTTTTCTCTGTAAAGCATTTTGAGATGTTTTGAGATTGTGAAATGTGCTTTGTAAATGCAGTTTCATTCTTTCTTCCATGTCTTTCCAAAGTAGGATGTGAGTTAATGGGGACAGAATTTAGATTCAGTTGTGGCATCCTTTGTAGTTGAATAATCATGCAAAACTTTTTGCCTTTGGCTAACGCAGTGATTTAGTGAATTCAGCCATTCAGTAGGTATGTCTATGATTTGAATGTTCCTTTGTATTGAGCTTGGACAAGTTTGAGCTAAGCTCTGAGGTCCTCTCCCTGCTGCCATGTTGGAATAGTGTCAGTCACTGATCACGGTTCACCCATGAATAATGTGAAATTGGAGTGAGATGGAATAATTGCCCAGTGAAAAGTGAAGCCCCTTGGTGAGGTTGACCACCAATGATGATGCAGAGGACAAAACCTTAAGTTTCCAGGTTGGCAATGTTTCGATGTTGCCATGGTTCCTATGTACATTGTCCTTGTACCATTCTCCCCCACCCCCACCTCGCCCTCCTACAGACCTGTCATACCTGCAGAGGTACAGTGTGAAGTATTTCCCAACGGGGAATCCTATTAATGTCTGGCTATAACTGAAGATGCTTATGTTCTAACAGGGGCCACCAACAACAATGTAATAATAAAGATAATTTTTAATGATTTGAGGGAGTAAAACTTCTCTACTGATCATCTTCAGATTAGCACTGTGGTTCCTTGACCTACATCCATCCAAACAGGTAGATTGGACCTTGGTTTAACTCCAGTTCCAGAAGACAGCGACTGTAACAAAGGCAACTTTCTCTCAATTGCACTGGATTGCTCTGAAAGTAGTGATGGACGTGGAAGGACATGATAGGTGAAGTTCATCAGCTATCATGATATGATACTTGTGTTAGCTCCCGTTATCTATGACTGCAACTTGAGACAAGTAGAACAGAAGATTTCAATGAACTCTCATTACAGCACTTACAATCTATGTATGTACACAAACAGGGGCTCAGTGGTAATGTTGCTCGATTACCAATCCAGAACGCAGGCTAATATACTGGGGACGAGAGTTCAAATCCCACCATGGCAGATGGTGAAATTTGAATTCAGTAAAATTTTGAATAAACATATTGTCATAATATGCCTATTGTTGACCATTGTAAAATAAAGTCTTGTTCACAAATGGGTGGGTTGGCAAGATGCAACAAGATTCAGTCTTTAGGCCTGAACTATTTACAATCTATACTAATGACTTGGATGCATGGATAGAAAGCACTGTAGCCACATTTGCAGATTACACTAAATAGGTAGGACAGTAAGTTGCAATAAGAAATTTACAAATAGATAGATAGGTTAGGTGAATGGGCCAACCTTTAGCAGATGAAGCTTAATGTAGGTAAGTGTGAGGTTGTCCACTTTGGTGGGAGGAATAGAAAGGCAACTTCTATTCCAAATTGAGAAAAATTTGAGAGTGCTCCAGTGCAGGCGGACCTCTGTGTCATCTTGCATGTATCGCAAAAAATAAAAACTAGTATGCAGGTACAGCAGGTGATATGGAAGGCAAATGGAATTTTGGCATTTACTCTAAAAGGAGTAGAGTATAAAAGTAGGGAAACGTTGCTGCAATGTACAAGGCGTTAGTGAGACTGCACATGAGTATCGCATACTGTTTTGGTCTCCTTCAAGGGTTGTAGTTGTGGAGGAGGCAGTTTAGATGGAGTTGACTAGATTGATTCTAGAGATGAGGGGTGTCTATTATGAAGAGAGATCGAGCAGCTTAGGCCTGTACTGTCTGGAGTTTGGGAGAATGGAGGATATCTAATTGAGTTATGTTAAAGGGGATTGACAAAGTAGACACAAAGGGTATTTCCTTGTGGGACAGTCTATAATGAGAAGGTCATAGTTTTTTAGGATAAGGGGTAGCAGATTTAAAACAGATGAGAAATTATTTCTCTCACAGTTGTGAATCTGTAAATGTTGTAAATAGGCAAAATTAATGGCTCTTTACTTGAATCTGCATTGTATTTGGAACAAAATTAAATGAAATAATTGAACAAATACAGATTAATGGGTTCAATCTTAGCCATTAAGGAGATCAAAGCTGGGAACTAAATGTTCAGGGGTGTGTAAAAGAACAGGCAGGTGGCAAAGATTGGTGGGGCAGCACCTTAGTGCTGGATGGAAAAATTACAAATAACAAGAAATGATCCTGAATCAGAAGATTTAGAATCCATATGGGTGGAAGTACAAAGTAGAAAGGAAAAGAAGACACTGGGAAGAGTAGTCTGTAGGCCCCCTAACAGTCGTTATATGGTGGAAGAGAGAATAAGTCTAGAGACAATGAGGGCACGTAACAAAATAAGTACATTAACTATTGGTGTCTATAATCTTCATGAAGGTTACAATAGGTTAGGAGAGGAGACCATGAGGAAGAATTTAGAATATAGAACATAGTGCCTGTACTGTTGTACTCTTTGGCCCACGATGTTGTGCCAATCTATTATCCTACTCTAAGATCAAACTACCCTGCATACCTTGCATTTTGCTATCATCCATGTACCTATCTAAGAGTTGCTTAAATGTCCCTAATGTATCAGCGCTGGCAATGCATTCCTTGCACCCACCACTCTGTGTAAAGAGCCTACCTCCAATCATCTGAAAGTTATGCCCCCTCGTAATAGTCATTTCTGCCTGAGGGAAAAAGTCTCTGACTATCCACTATATCTATGCCTCGTCGTCTTGTACACCTCTATCAAGTCACCTCTCATTCTTCTTTGCTCCATTGAGAAAAGCCCTAGCTCCCTCAACCTTTCCTCATAAGATGTGCCCTCCAGTCCAGGCAGCATCCTGGTAAATCTCCTCTGCACTCTCTCTAAACTTCCACATCCATCCTCTAATGAGGCAACCAGAATGGAACACAATATTCTAGGTGTGGTCTAACCAGAGTTTTATGGAGCTGCACCATAACCTCGTGGCTCTTAAACTCAATTTCCCCCTGCCAATGAAAGCCAACACACCATACCCTGCCTGAACAACCCTATCAACTTGGGTAGCAACTTTGAGGGATCTATGGGCGTGGACCCCGAGATCCCTCTGTTCCTCCATAATGCTGAAAATCCTGCCATTAATCCTGTATTCTGTATTCAAATTCGACCTTCCAAAATGAATCACTTCACGCTTTTCCGGGTTGAATTCTATCTGACACTTTTTTGACCAGCTCTGCATCCTGTCAATGTCCCGTTGCAACCGACAGCTCTCCACGCTGTCCACAACTCCACCAACCTTTGTGTCATCGGCAAACTTACGAACCCACCCTTCCATTTCCTCATCCAAGTCATTTATAAAGATCACAAAGAGCAGAGGTCTCGGAATGGCTACCTGCGGAACACTAGTGGTCACCGAGCTCCAGGCTGAATACTTTCCATCTACTACCACCCTCTGTCTTCTATTGGACAGCCAATTCTGTATAGAGACAACCAAATTTCCCTGAATCCCATGCCTCCTTACTTTCTGAATGAGCCTACCATATGGAACCTTATCAAATGCCTTGCTAAAATCCATATACACCACATCCACTGCTCTGCCTTCTTCAATGTGTTTTGTCACATCCTCAAAGAATTCAATTAGGCTTGTGAGGCATGATCGCCCCTCAGAAAGCCATGCTGACTATTTCTAATCAAACTGTGCTTTTCCAAATAATGGTAAATATTATCTTTCGGAATACTGTCTAATAATTTGCCCACCACAGACATAAGACAGACTGGTCTGTAATTCCCAGGATTATCCCTATTCCCTTTCTTGAACAAAGGAATAACATTTGCCACCCTCCAATCTTCTGGTACTACCCCAGTGGACAGTGAGGATGCAAAGATCATCGCCAAAGGCACAGCAATCTCTTCCCTCGCTTCCCGTAGTAACCTTGGGTATATCCTGTTTGGACCAGGGGACTAATCTATCCTCATGTTTTTCAAAATTTCTAGCACAATCTAATCTCCTTCCTAACATTAACCTGTTTGAGCATATCTGCCTGTTTCACACTGTCCTCACAAACTGAGTTCCTTCTCACAGGTCAATACTGAAGCAAAGTATTCATTAAGGACCTTCCGTACCTCCTCTGACTCCAGGCTCAAGTTCCCTCCACTGTCCCTAGTTGGCCCTATCCTCACTCTGGCCATCCTCTTGTTCCTCACATAAGTATAGAAAGCCTTGGGGTTTTCCTTAATCCTACCCACCACGGTTTTCTCATACCCGCTTCTAGCTCTCCTAAGTCCATTCTTCAGTTCCTTCCTGGTTACCTTGTAACCCTCTAGAGCCCTGTCCGATCCTTGCTTCCTTCTTCCTCTTGACTAGATATTCCACATACCTTGTCATCTAAGGTTCCTTCACCTTACCATCCCTTCCTTGCCTCAGTGGGACAAAACTCATAGCAACTGCTCCCTAAACAACCTCCACATTTCTGTCATGCATGTCCCGGAGAACATCTGTTCACAATTTATGCTATTAGGCAAGAGCTGTGGAGCATTGTAATTCCCTCTCCCCCAATTAAATACTTTTCCATACCGTCTGCTCCTATCCCTCTCAAAGACTATAATAAAGGTCAGGAAGTTGTGATCGCTATCACCGAAATGCTTGCC